TAGTAGGTTACACATCTATTTCAGTCCTAGGCACATCATACTAAATTACCCACCACCATAGATGCCCACAGGCTAAGCTATTTTAATAACCACTCTGGCTCTGCTGCCCATGGCTGTAACCATGTTCACTTTGTCTCTGGCACTTATTAAGTGCTGCCTCTGCCAATCTGTGATACTATCATTCCCACTGAAGTTAGGAAACCCATTTCAGAGACAGCTTCCTCCCTACCTTGTCACCTCCAACCTACAGAAAGTAGCCACTACAAAATTTTTCAAGAATGCTGGTGGTCCTTACTAATGTGTTTCTCAAACATGGTGAGGGGATGGTCAAGCCAGCGATGCATGATAGATCTTCTCCAACATTCCTAGGTCCATAAGCCTTTGGATTCTTCCTCCACATTATTCCAATGAATTTCTAACATGTATGTCATTTTAATGTAGGCCACCACTGAGTCCAAGTTTCAGTTGATCTATGGCCCCCAATTAAGAATTTCTGGTAAGTGCACCTATATCAATAACTTCGGTCCATTCTAAATATGTTTCTTCCTACTTTAGCATCCTGAAAATCTATTCCTATACATTTCTATAGATGAAAATTAGCCAAATCCTGTCATTCTAAACTATCTCCTCCCAGGATAGATTTCGTACGTGTCCCCCTGGTACATGCTGTGATATAATTCTCCTTATAGATCTGATAACATTGAAAGAGTAGAAGGCAGGCATAAGGAGTTACCCTTGGAAGGTAACTCCCTTGATTGAGGTCATTATAAGATCTTAAGCAACAAAAAGACTAATGTCATCTGACAAGGGAGGAGAGACTACTTTTCTTGGCCAGAGAGATACAAAGAGATTTAGAGATTCAGATTCTCAGATTCATCCAGATCTATCCAAATATCCCCATTCCAATTATTTGGGTCCCATCCTTTCACAATCAATGCCACAACTTTCACATAGGAAACTATCGAGGCTGTGAACTTAAGTTTTAATTCTTCAGCCCACAGGACCAAACTTTATATCTTATTTTTAGACATCTCAGGTCTGCAGCTATGAGATATAAGAGGGTCTCTTAAGACAGTTATATAAGCTCTCTGCTCCTTCCTCCTTGTCTTGAGCCAAGAATTTAAAACACGAGCTAATTTTCTTTCTATAAGCTCTGCAGTGCAGTCATAAGTTGCCTTGCCAGTCAACTCTTTATATTCCTCATGTATAACAATAGTGCAAAGCAGCAGCCACTTGTTCTGCCAAAGGCTTGTCCTCAATAGCCATTCCCTTCTAAGTGACTATAGGTGATAATTTAGCTATTTGCTTCCTGGAAAACAGTACCCCATTTCCCACTGGTCATCAAGTTATCACTGCCTATAAACTCAAATAAGTCAGATAACCAATACCATATTATCTTTAGGAGTCTATTTCTTGATCAAATTTTGATGCTGAACGCTGCTACATAAGTTTCACTGCATGAAACAGATAACACTCAAGGTATTTCAAGGCATAAAATCTTTAATTCAAAGGATTAGAGGCTTATAAAATTATTGGTAACTTGGAGGAAGAGAAAGTCAGGAGGCTACTTTAGTCTTTGACTTCAATTCACATGACCACATCTGCCATAATCGCTATCACCATCACCACTGTCAGCATTCACAACATTGGTACCAAGATAGTGGATTGTGTAGTCCAGCTGTTGCCAACACTTTTGTCTGTAGGAGCCCATTTATAGACTTGCACTACTACAGAAAGATGGCATCCATTTCCTTCTGCCTTCCTAAAATTTCATGTATGAGTGCCTCACATCTACAATACCTAAGTTTGTGAGGGAATCACATGCTTACAAGAAAATCTGAGAAATGTAATTTTTAGTTCTACAGACTGTAATACTGAAGGAGAGAAGAGTACATATCAAGGGTATGGGGATGGATTCACAGTGCTAATAAACTTCTAGGACAGTTACCTAAAGATGGTGCTGGATTTCTAGCAGTTAACAGTTACGGTACAGTCTTAGATGTAAACTCCAAATCTCAACTCTAATGATAAATTAGAAATGTGTTCCCCAAATTCATCAAACTGCTCTTCTGCTTCAAAAGTTACCATGCTATTTTTCTTTCTGGAGGAAAGATCAGATACCAGTTTTACAAGGGCTGACAGTAATAATTCAAGCATAACAAAAACACTTAAATGTTGTAGAATAAATATAGGTTTGAAAAGCGGTTATTTGTTCTTTTCTGATCACATAACGTCTTCATTAAATTTTCTCTATGAGATCTGACATCAGAATATATTTGAAATCCAAATATATATGTAGAGCTAATAAACTCTAAGTATATAATATGCTTATAAATGTATTTGATTCCTCAGATTTATTAAGGACATTAGTACACAAGACACAGAGGTGAGACTGTTGCTAACATAATGCTACCTGTCATGCAAGACTCATAATCCACCCACACTCATTACCAAATAGCGAGGTAATCATTATTCTTGAAAGACTGGTTCTAAGGATAGCTTCTTAATAGGGAGGAGAAACTCAGTTTAGATACAATGCATCATGGATGGCAAAAAAGAGATTTCAACTGGATGCCTTCATTTTTTCCCAAAGAAAAAAAATTTAAAGCCAAGGAAGGGAGCTTTTCTAAAATTGCAGAAAAAGGTTTCAGGGATACCTAGAGACTGACAGAGTACGTGGAATGTGTATATGGAATGATGAGATACTCTTTATAATTCACAGTCTCATATTTAAATTAGAAAATACTCAATAATTATGAGACCCTATCTTTTTAGAAATGGCTATATTACTTAAAGCTTCCAAAATTTTTAATTTAAGATGGCTTTTAATGTGAACATATTCTTTGTGTAGATGTTCAAACACAATGACATCATGATAGCTTCATTATATTATTATACTTAGAGAGATAAGTGATGTGTTTCAGTGTGCATTTATTCTCAAAGAAGATACTACTCTAAGGACATATTCCCTGGGAAAACATCAGATATGAAAATGGAAAATATCAATAAAAGCAAATTGAGTTTCTATTTAGGACCAGGTGAGTCTTCAGGGAACAAAGTTATGAAGAAAAATTTGTTCATGTGTAAACATGCCTTTACGTGGTAAAATGGAAAAGACAAAAAGGAAAGGGAAAAAGAAACTACCATAAATTGGCTTTTTTAAAAACAAGTAGAAAAAAAAAGTTTAATTTCTCAAAAGACGTAGCAAAACCTAGATCTATAAGTTTGAAAGAACGCCAAGGGGTAACTCAGATCATCCCTTGCCCACCTAAAAATCCCATTACTTAATCATCTAAAGAGAGCTATGGACCACCTTCTTCATAAGTCATAAGGCTCTTAGTGACATATTCTAGAATCTCACAATCTTCATGTGGTAGTGGTTCTATGTATCATTTATTTTTAATTTAGGTCTTTAAATCTCCTCCAGGATTCACAGCCTTCTATTAAAAACAAATTCAAAAAAGCTGTGTCTTTCAATACACAGCTGTGCCTTCCCTAAGTAATTTATAGGAGAACCAACTTCTAACACTTACATGGTCTGTACCGTTTTGAAACAAGGAATCTGTTTCTACTTCTCTGCCTTTTCACAACTATTCTTGTAATTCAGAAGTCATCTGCCTAAAATACAAAAGTCTAAGCATGGATTCTAAAATACACCACTATTAAGTACTGATTTTGTACTATTGTACAAACTGTATTGTATTGTATTGTATTATTAAGTACTATTAAGTGCTTGCCAAAATTACTTGCATGCTGAGTACCAGGTGCCTGATCTCCTTCTGCAGGTTTTGGTTACTGCTCAGATGCTGTGCTCCTGTGTATATAGCTCAGCATCACAGTGTCTCTCAACTCTGCTACTCTATATATCATCCAGCAGGATGCCTAAATCTAAGTCACCCAGGTCTATGCTGAGCACATCAGCTTACATCCTGGATATCTATAGTTGTCTTTTACTCAGTAAGGATAGTGTTATGAATACAGCTGGCTGAGATTAAGGCTATAACAAGGAAAGAGTTGAGAGAGTGTAAACAGCTCAGTGTGGTTTTGCATTCTAATGAGGGTGAGATTCAAAAGTTCTGCTCCAAGTCAGTACATAGTACCTAGAATTGATGCATTAACAACAAGATAATACAGCAAAAATTACTTCTACCTCCAGGTTCTCTTTCTTATTTATAGAGTAACTGAGTTGCAAATATGGAACAAACCTGTAAGTTAAAATATTCCTAATAAATTAAAAACACTGCTAAGTTCCATGTTGTAAGATATAAATATAATAATTCATATTAAAATACTTTCAAATGCCTAAACAGTATGTGGAATGAAAGAGAGAAAAGAGAGAGAATGAATAAATAATGTTAAAACTGAAACTAGTCATCAGTGTACATCTGCACTACAGAGTCAAAAGTAACAGAAAAGAGAAAGAGCTACAGTCACTAATTATACCAGAAAACTCACTGCTACCTGTCTCAGGTATTTCTAGTTATTGTAAATATTTAATAAATTTCCTGCTCTCTATGTAAGAAAATGTTACTTCAGTTAGTGACAAAATTTTACTGAAAAGGGGACATAATCCTCATCTACCAATTTTTAGATACATACATGGCATGCAACTTATCTGTGATGACAAATTATGAAAGCTACTAGAAAATGCTATATTTATCACATCATAAAATCATCTTTGATAAAGAAACATAGTAAGGACTGAATGATTTACATATAAGAACACAAAAGCTCCCCCATTTATGTAAAACTAATTTAGAAGAAAATGGTATTTTAAGTCTGAATGCAAAAGCTCTTCCAAAAGCAGCTAATTTTTAAGGTAAAAATCTGCTACCATAAAATAATAAGCTTTTTACCAGAAGTTGTGGACACCCAACTTCTAGTTTCATTTCTTTTCTGCATATAAGACATTGGCAGCAGAAAAGAATTTAGAATATTAACTAAATCAAATAAACATCTAGCAGACAATTTACATTACAATAAACTAACAAAAAAAATCGTTTTTCCCACAACAATAGTATTTTTATTGTGCTGAAATCAGGTAGCAGGGAATGAATAGTTCTGCGGAACCAGTACAGAATTTCACAAAGATTTACAAATCTCTAGCCATTACACACTGAGCAGCAAAAACAAAGGTGCTGAATCCTCTTTGACCAAACTACTATATGTGTTGCAAATTTTCTGTAATTCTCATGGCTGCATGCCTTTGGGGAAAAGGTATGTAATTCTAATGAACAATATCTTCTAGTTTACAAATATTCTGAAATAGTTTGTCGGTATAAAGAGCATACATCCTACACATGCAGTTTGGACATGTTGAGATACTTAGAAATATTCATGCTCTTTTTGTCCCAATCCCCCTAACAAATTAACCTATGTAATAAAACATAGTACAAATTCTCTTTCCTATTTTGTCTAGTTGCTTATTTATATCACATGAAATACTTCATTTCTAAATAGCAAATTTAATTTTATGGTTCTGACTGCTCTCACTTTTATTGTCTTTTAAATTAATACCTTGTAACATCAAGCACTGAATTTAATGATCTTTAGCACCAAGGAGTCAAGAATATTGCACCAAAATGGGTTTACACTTCATATCTAGTTAATAAATAAGATCTTGCAACTTAGTCACAAGGAAAATATCATTCCAAAATTAAACACATTGAAAGAGAAGGATAGTTTCACAGAAATGTTTAGTGTATGCTATTTGTAAAAAAGCAAAAAATACTAGTAGATTCAAAAGTTAATATTAAAATTTATGTTAGAAGACTCCTTGATATTTTTAATTAAAATTTATTTAATTTTAAATGTTCTTTCCAACAGAAGAGGTAGGTATATTTCCACATATGAAAAATCAGTAACAGCCACAAATCAAAATAAGGAAGATTGACAGAAATGAACATACTCTTCTAATAGCAAATAAATGTAACTATTTTATGTTACTAATAAAGACATGAGTTGTTTCATGTTTTAATCAGATAATAATAGTTTCATAATATATTTCTGCTAGTAACAGGAGTATTCAAAGGCTGCCTTTTCATCACAAAAATTGTTTCCCACAGTGATTTGTGCCAAGAGTCATGATGACCTTTGAGTCATCAGACAGGATTTTACTACAATTCTTTCTTATTTTCACCAACACCACCATCGTCAAGCCTCTAAGATTCTACAGATATCAGCAGATTTTTTAAATTAAATTACAAACAAAAGGGTATATTCTGACTAGAGGTGGAGAGATTCGACTATTCTGGTCAGCAAATGAATTCTAATATGCAAATTTAAATGTATCCACATTTCCAGCTTTGGACAAGAAAATGTAAAGTAACTGATTTTAATCAGTAGGTAATGAGTAATTTACCCAAAAAAATCAATATAGACTGTGTTTCTGTGATCGTCTAAAATTCAGACTGAAAAATGAGTGAATATAAGATAAATGAAAAAATCTCATCCATTGGACAAGTGGGTGTGGACAGAGGGAGAGTTTCCAAAGTCACATAATGATTGCTTTGGTCTGGACAACATCAAGGCTAATTTTTAAAAAATGTTTAAAATAAAAACTTTATAAATAAAACATGTGGGTATTACACTTAACACTTTACTCAGTATAAAGTTTACTAGTACATAGAGCACATTTGCCTTTTCTCCCCATCCCTAAGCTCTCATTAGCCTCTGTTTTCCCTGAAATTTTATATGACATGGGAGTTTCCTCACTGTCAATAACAGTTAAGGCCCAGTTCAATTTACTCTCCTTTTGCTTTTCCATTTTTCTGCTTTTTTCCATTTTCTATCACTAGCTGCTTTTCTGATTTGTTCACACCATTTGCTGAAATACCATTCATGGCTGTTTTTCCAGTTTTTTGTTTCTTAGGTTGGTTGTACGTCCGAACATAGAAGTTAAGAAACAGACATATGAAGCTGATGGCGTAGACAATGAGAGCCCAGTGCATCCATTTGGGGAAGGGGCAGTCAGTGTAAAGAGACAGTGCTGTGTGCCCAATGGTCACATGAAACTGAACCTGAAAAACAGAAACAGCAGGAACATGTACATTTAAAAATAAACTTATCAAAGTGGCTCATTATTTGTTTCTTATAGATGGTAGACAGGTATTTGAATGAACACTATCCTTTAAAAACCAGTATTTTGATAAAATTTAGAAGATATCTGAGAGTAAGCACAAAAAGAATCACTTTCAGAGTTTTTAAAAGGAGAAAAACCAAAATTGAGATCCTTAAAATGAAATGATTTTAAATTCTGATGTATCAATAAATGAATGGTTCATGACATAAGAATTCTGAATTCTATGGTATTAACAAGGGTTAACTTTTTACAAGATTAACTTACATGATTAACTGTCGTGAGAACTTACGGCTTACAAACATAAACTCAACATCTTATTTGTAATGGGCAGTTGTGGTTTCTCTTTTAAAGTCAGCATTGACAATACTGATTATTATATTCAATATTATTAAAATAATTTATTCCATGTAAACCAGAAATTTATATCATATTAGACAACTTTTACAATTTTCCATGGCAAAAATGCAAACTTTACGAACTTCTGGTTTCACAATGGTTTTTAAAACCTGCATCACCAAAAAAGGTTGTGTATAAGGGTATGATTAAGTATGGCATCACTCAAGAAGAGCCAGGTGCAGGCTCCAACAAAACAGATATAAATAATTCATCTGCTTTTGGTCACCTCTTCATTTTCTTGGGACCATTTACTAACTATCACGAGAAATGAATTACACAAACTATATAAACAGCTTAGAAAAAAACTGAAGGAAACTTCCTGTAGCATTTTACTTACAAATAAATCCTTCATACCCAACATTCCCAAAAGTTGTGTTTCCAGTTTGGTTAGCAAGTTGTTTAGCAATGTAAAGCAGAGATGGATAATATTTTCGAATGTGATTCCACTGATAAAACTGTGTACACACTATGATTAAAGCAAATTATAATAAATTCTAAAGCCCGAAGAATAGCTACCAGGTTGGTTTTGGATTATCAGTGTGATTACAGGCTGGTGCCCAACTCTAAATGTTACACGGATACATGCATCCAGACGCTACAAGAAGTCCTACTACAGACATATGCTGAAATTTGTCTGGCCTAAAGACTAACATTTGAAAACACCTGGCTCTGCTCTTTAAGGACAGTGTTCTAGAGAATCAAGAGCGGTTTTCTGGTTCTTATTCTCTTCCTTTAGCCCACCGCTTCCTTGGCTCTCTGCCTTCTTTTCAACTTTATATTCTAACTGTATGGAAACTATTAACAAGGACTGAAAAGTGGAATAAAAAACAGAAAATTTAAGTATAAGCAAGGACAAGATGAGGAGAGGTAATAAAATTTTAAGTTAAAAAAATTGCTTGAGTAAAAAAATTGTATTATTTTTCTAGTCACACATGAATTCATGTATGTTGTGGTATGCTTATATCTTTTTAAAGAATGTTTCTCTTAGAGGATAAGTGCTGTCTAGTCTTTTGAGGACATTACAAAAGCAAGTGGCTATGACCATAAGCCCATGAAGAGGTAGGTTGGGGCCAAGGAGCCTCAACTGTTACAGCTAGAGGAGAAAGTTAATTTTTTAATAGAAAATTGCCCCAAACAACGTGGCAATTTGCAATTAATTAAAAGTCAAACATTTTCAAGATTTCACCAGAAGAAACTTTAGAAGCATTTAACTCACCAGCTGCAACATGGTTAGGTATCGTTTCCACCAGAGATACTTCTGGATCCATGGGCCAAATGCAGTTAACCCATAGTATGAGTACATAATCACGTGGATAAAGGAATTCAACTGGGCTCCAAAAAATGCTTTAGAAGAAGAAGAGGTCATTGCAAGATACAAAAAACTTGATTAGGCAATAAGTCATTGAGATATAAAATAAATGAATCCACATAATTTTCTAATATTTAATCCTGAGTACGGATTAGTAATAAAAGATGTAAGATAGTACTAATGAAAAAGCCTTCCCTTCAGATTAAGCTAGATATTTTTAAAGTTTAGATTTGGGGTTCTACCATGTAAATTAAAATGTGTGTTGTTAAATACTTTCCAAGTGGTAAATTTTCACATGGGGTACTTCAGTGAGCTTAAGTAGGCCATTATAGAAAACTGTTGCTTATATTACTTTTAATTCTACTATTCATGGGGGAAAAAGGTTATGGTATATATAAGTGTCTGAGTAGATTGCAAATATTCTATTACTGCCTTTAGATGTGTCAATACATCTATAACAAAACAGCACTTATTTCTTAGGTCTCTAAATAGTTTTAAATATGACAGCACTATACATATAAAACATAATCCATTTAGTATATATAAATTTACAGAGATATTCCAATCAGTCTAAACCAATGGCATTCTTTCTCTTTAGAATATTAATTAAATCAACATATAGATATAATAAGTAATAATTTTTGTCATAAAGTGATTTAAAGAGGCAGTTCAGATTTACTAATTTTCTTTTAAAATTACATAGTTTGACTTTTACTGCATTTTTTTTTTCAAAAGATGACTGGTAAAGGGATCTTAACCCTTGACTTGGTGTTGTCAGCACCACACTCTCCCAAGTGAGCCATGGGCCAGCCCTTAAATGTATTGTTTTAAAGTGGGCCCCCAATAATAACTTGTGTGAATTCCTCAATTGCCAATTACTATAATATGACACTGGAAAGAAGTAAGGTGAACTGTATGATAATACTTATACCCTGCACCCTCAACAGAGGAATAATCTGTTTCCAGTTCAACAATGCCAATCATCCTTAATCTACAGGCATCTGAAAAGACTGGAGGCAGATCCTAGCCAAACTGTGAATTCAGATCCTCTTTAACATTAGCAAGGCTACATAAAATTTCCTTTGAACAAGAATGAACAAGGTCAGTTAAGGCCTTTCCTAGAGCATGAGTGAGCTCTGGGCTCGGATTGAAGACGGAATCACCAGACTGAGCAGTTGTATCTTGGTATCCTTTGGATCAGAACTACTAGACCTGCTTCCCTCAAAATACTATTTTCTAGCATGGCTAACATTCAACAGACTGAGAATGATAAGTGCTGGAGAGGTTTCAGAGAAAAAGGAAATCTCATACACTGTTTGTGGGGCTGCAAATTGGTGCAGCCTTTATGGAAAATGGTATAGAGGCTCCTCAAACAATTACAGATAGATCTATCATATGACCCAGCTATTCCACTGTTGGGAATATAACCAGAGGAATGGAAATCATCATGCTGAAGGGAAAACTGTACTCCAATGTTTATTGCAGCTCTATTTACAATAGCCAAGAGTTGGAACCAGCCCAAATGTCCCTCATCTGATGACTGGATAAGGAAACTGTGGTATATCTACACAATGGAATACTACTCTGCTATAAAAAAGAACGAAATACTACCATTCGCAACAACATGGATGGACTTAGAGAAATTTATATTAAGTGAAACAAGTCAGGCACAGAAAGAGAAATACTACATGTTCTCACTCATTTGTGGGAGCTAAAAACAAACACACAAACAAATCAAGGGCTGGAGGGAGAAGAAGACAGAATAACCACAAAAATTCCTTACACTATTTCAGTCAAGTGAACAGATATGATGTGGGAGTTGGGGGTGGGGAGGGGGTGGAGAGGAACAGGTAAAAGGGCATGAAAATCAACTACAATGTATTTTGAGAAGTAAAATTTTAAAAATAATTTAAAAAATACTATTTTTCACATTTAGACTTGGTTTATGCTCATCTCTGGGGCAAATCTTTAAGTTTTAAAATGGTCACATATAAAAAGTTAAAGATTTATACTTTCTTCAAACTTTTAAAAACTAAAATGAACACAGAAACGATTAACCTTGAAAGCAAGATAAATGATAGACCAAGTCAAAATCTCAGGCTGTCCTTACTTTCCACCAAACACATTTACATTATTTAAAACATGCAGATACATTCCGGAAAAGGCTCACCTTGTCCCCCTGCAACCCACTTAATACCAATCCACCACAATGTAAACATTGTACAGTGATGATATACATGAAGGAAAGAAACTTGGTTGTTCTTCTTTCTTAGGATAAAAAACACTGTGTCCAAATACTCAACTCCTTTAGATACAAAGTACCACCACAGAGCAGCAGCTATCTGTAAAAAGAAAGGGAAAACATGTTATAAATACGAAAATGACACTATTATATGGATTTCTACTCGCTGTAAGTCCAAAATAATCTTCATCGCACAAAACATACAAGGCATTGATTCATTTTTGGCAAGTAGGTTTGAAACCTCAGCAAATATTCACAAGGAAAAAAATGGACAAGAGAGAGTCCAAAGCTATGTTCTACACAGCGCCAATAATTTACAGAAAATTTTCAGTCTGTTACAAAGGTGGATGTCATACGATGTCAAACTGCTGAATACAGAGCTGTAAACACAATCCCACTGCTATGCTTTTCAATCTAAGAAACTGAGATGTTTACTTTGTAAAGATAATTCAGTTCCTGCTTAATCTACATTATACCTCAGATAAACTTGCAAGTAAGTTTATGTAGCATCTGGTCTCTGTCAGTGTCTTACTCTCTCTCATATTAACATGTGTAACGAAGTAAATTCAATCACAGCAGTCTGTATTGCATAGTAAAATATTTAAAGTGATAAATTGAAAGGAACAAACAAAAACCAAATATTTCCTAGGTCATAAATATAATCCTGCTTACATGAATAAGTCTTTTCTTTTCCTAGGCTCTAATTAAGACACCAGATGGTGCAGAAAGATTACATTACATGCTGAGATTAAGGATTCAGTGAGAGGTGACCTCTGTGTATATGTTTTAAAATATTCTACAAGAATCCTGCTATAACAATAACCAAAACTTAACCAAGTAGTTAAGTGATAAGTGTCCTATAAACAAATAACAAATACGGCAGTAAAGAACTGAAATCCATTTATAAACTTTGTGTGTTAGGGGCTTGACAAATTCATTCATAGCCAGGCTTAGGTGTTTTAAAGTTGAAAGATCCCTTCCTCATTTTATACTTGCATCTGGTGGATGTCATAGGTTTTTGTTTGTTTTGACTTTGCTTTTGAAAAACAAAATCACAATTTTAAAGTGTGGGAAAAAAGGAAAAATATAGGCCAAATTTTTAAAAAATGTCTTGTATTTACAGGTTGGGAATTATTTACTGAGTTTGCTTGAGTAATAACACTGTTAAAAATGATAAAATTGGTTCAAAATATCCTTGAAATAGTTAACTACCCACAGCAACACTAAAGTTAATATTCAACAGTATGTTAGTACTTTAAAATAATATAACTATCACCAATAACTTTCAGAAGGAATGAGACAATGTCATATTTTTCCTTCATCTGGGCTGCTAAACTACCCCAAATTCACATATAATAATAATAATTCTCCTCAGTTTACAAATTGCATTAGATATCTTTGAATAGGCTACATACACCAAAGTGAACGTAACAATGAATACAAAAATGAATCTCAGAGTAAAATATTCATTCTACTGCATCCGATATTAGAGAGGAAAGGGGAGCAGGAGGACAGTTTCAAACACAATCTGTTGCAAATTTCAAGTTTTTCTTTTACCCGATTACAGGTTTCACAATAGCTCACTTTTTAAAGAACTCAAAATTTATGCATGTTTCTATATTAAGCATGAGAAGGAGGGTAGGTTCACAATTACCAGAGTGTTATTTTTGAATCCTTATCCTAAAAATATTAATATGTTGCTTCACCCAAGGGGGTTTTCTAAGTTTATTCCCAAAGAAAGCATATCAAATACTTTTTCCTTTCCCCTCCCCCAAAGCAAGCAAGAAGTCAGCTCTCAGCTGAGGAAATTCTCTGACAATATGCTTATCAGAAGAAAATTTTTCCTAGCCAACGAATCCAAATCTAAATCTAAAGAATCTCCCTCATTCTTTCTCAGTTACATCACAGGTTTTATTTTCTTCTTAACCACTTATTAATATGATCATTGTCTGCCTCACCACCCTCACTAGAATGCCAGCTCCACGAAGGCAAGGACCTCAGCTGCCTTGTCAGCTCTATGTCCCCAGCATCCCTCACAGTACCTGCATCTAATAGATGCTCAATAAATATTTATTGAATTAATAAAACCAACATGACTTTAGAGGTGATTTTTCATCAGTCCATAAGTCTTCTAATAGGGTAATGAAGATATGTACATAAAATGGTAAGAACATTAAAGCAATTTGGTCTTTGGTCTTGAAGAATACTGGTATTTATATTGTCCAACCCACATGCCAGAAAGCTATTTTTCTCAAGGGAAACTACTACATATTATATTATTACTACATACATTATATATAACATAAAATATACATATGCTTATATATGTTTTATGTTATATGCAATTTTTAATATGAACCACAGTATACAAGAGAAGTTCAATAAATACTCAGTAAAATAAGAAACTTTATTCTCCCTTCCACTTGAATTAAATGGTAATTTTACTAATGTAGGTGACTGAAAAATAAAATATGGTAACATATAACTAGTGGTTTATTTTTCTGCAAATACAATAAAAGCTAAATTGATAAAAAAAAAAAAACTATGAGGATACTTCAAAAAGTTTGTGGAAAAATAGAATTAAAAGATAATACAATCTTTCCATAAGTTTCTGAAGTACTGTCATAGACAAACTGTGTTACACTTAATTTCCTAAATATTGCACAGTTCATAAAACATTTGCTTTTCTTCAGACTTTCTTAACAAATGAATTAGACTCCCCTGATAAGTTTCTATTCTGGACCAAAAATAACAACAAAAATCTAAAATAATATCTTTACACAAAATATGGAACTTTTTTTTTAAGTACTGCATTCTAGTAATCCAATATATATTCACTCTCACACCACCAAATAAAAGAACATGCTGGAGGTACAAAAACAGATTTTCAGTTACGTACTTTTAAAGAAAATCATAGCTTTATTGATTCAAAACAATCCAGTAGAATTTCATTACTGTATTACAGTACATTTCTCATAGACTGGGGCCTATAAAATTAACTTCTAATGATTAACAGTATTTTTAATGTACTTACCCTGACTTCATTAACATTATTAGAATAATCCACACTCTGGCAAATATAGCTATATCCTGCATTATATGATCCCATGAATAACTGGAAAAAGAAAGCAATAATATTTAGAGTAAAGCTTTAGTAGATACTGCATTAAAAACACTAAATACAATATGCAAATTTCCAAATTATTTCAAAAGCAGAATTCTCTTAAAAAATTTCAGATGCATTAAACATTCAATTCATTGGAATTTCTAAAAGTTTCTATGCATAGATCTGTTCCATTTTCGAAATCTAAATTAAAAATCACATGTAACTTTTGGACTGAGATAGCAACTCTATCCACTTCATAATATTAAGAGAAAATTTTATTGCCATGATTCAGATATAAGGGTTATCCTGCCTTCGCTGGTCTTTATTCTTGATCCAGAACGGTCTGTATCTAGCAAATTAGGTAAAGGTATCCAAATAAATTAAATGAAAGTTTTTAAGAAGTTGAAATTCCTTAGGCTAGGTTGTCAACTGAAGAAAGACTTTTCAAAGAAGAGCTACTGTTCATTTTCCTAGCATCAATAGTTCTCTGAGATCATACAGAATTGTAATGAGTCTCTTATGAAACAAATTCCTTACGCTCTTGCAACTTAAAAAATGGCTGTAGGTCAAAAGAGTAGGAGAGAAGAAAATAAATAAATAAAATAAAAAATGAGTCAATCTAGCCTTTAGGATTTCCTTTCAAAATGCCATGGAGAATTTGCTGGTGCCCAGAAAAGTACATGATGATTAGTAGCAACAGTTGTATGATAATTAACACATTTTAGTTCCAGCTCAAAATACAATTACATTACATAATAGGATTTAACTTGAAATCAGTATTTATACATTTGCATATTTTGATCAGTTACCAAACTTGAACACTGCTGAATAAGCATTATAAATAAGTAGTTACTACTGTTTACTATGTACTAAGATATGCTAAACACTATGCAAAAATTACCTCACTTAACTCTGATCATAACCCTAGAAGGTAGGTATTTTTCCCATTTTACAGAAGAAAATGAAGCTAAGAAAAATTAAATAATTTCCAATACCAGGACAACTAATAAAGATTACTTTAGAATCCAGTCTGATTCAAAATTCCATCACATGTTCTCACTTATTGGTGGGAGCTAAAAATAAATAAATAAATTCACACATACACCAAAATAAAAAAAACTGGGGTAGAGGAAGAAGACATAACAACTGCAATTCCTTGAAGTTAAACAGAAAGGACATTGTTGGGAGGGAGGGGGGAGAGGGAGGAGGGAGGGAGATTTCGGTAATGGGCCACAATAATCAACCACATTGCATATCGACAAAAAAAAAAAAAAAATCCATTTTAAACAACTGTTCTATACTTTATATTTCATATATTTGTTATCTAAAAATGAGAAATGTCAAAAATTTTCTTTTAGAGTAGCTAACAGTTATTTGGGGTACAATATTATAATGTTGGTTTTACATATCCTTGTTTTTAAATTTCCTATAGCCATGAAGAATTACTATCGAGTGATTTTAAGAAGCCTACCTCTCTGAAGATAAAAAGGTTAAGCAAAACCATCCCAAAATTATAGAAAATGAGCACAAAGCGCATCTGAAAGGGTTCTCGGTCCTTCATCCATTTTGGACCCAGCCACACAAACAGGAGATAAAGAGTACTTATGCTTATTGTAGGCCATGGAGATTGCATCAGAGGCCAATTTTCCACACGTTTATCTATAGAGAGAACAAAATAACATACAATTCATTAAATAATACATGTTTATAAAATAAACATTTTAGGAGTTAAAATGTTTCAACTTAATTCCTAATCTGACAAACACAGATCACTATTCTTTGAGTCCCAACAAAAATACATAGTATAAAAACCAAAGAAGCAAGGCTGATTCCTGCAAGTTACTTTTGAAAACTAAGTTTCATTACTATGTCACACATCAGGTTTTATACAGAACCAAGAGAGCAAAGATAATAAATAAAACTCACTAAAAATAGAGGAGATAAGCTTGGGATGAAAAGTTAATAAAAGACTTCATAGACAGAATATAAACATTTTAAGAAAACACTTGTCTTTCTATATTAAGCATGAGAAATTTATCAGTGCCATTTCAAAGCGGCACTCTCTGTCCATTCCTAAAGCAAGTGGGAATTAGACTTATGAGATATGGGCTAAAGGAAGCCACTGGCTGGAATATTTCTAGACACTGAAGGTAAGAATGCAGCTATTCTTGAGGGATTAACTTAGCGTTCGTTATAATTCTGTAAGTTATTTCAATGATAATAATATTCAAGATATTTTTCAAACTTTTTCATCAAGAGTATGCATCTATTTTATTCCCCATGAACAACCAATCTGTGTGCTTTTCTCTGAAGCTATAATTCACTTAACTTACATAAGTGTAAATATATATAACAAACACATTAGTTCATTTAAAATGAATTGACTGCCCATAATATTCAAGTATGCAACCCTGAATCAATCTTACAATAGAATGTAAGTAAAACATTTCTAAAAGAAGCATCATAATGAAATAAAGGACTAATAAAAATCCATCTTTTAATACATTATAAGAAGATACTAATTTTTATATTTCTAAAAGCTAAGTTACATTTAAAGTTTGCTAATCTAATGTTTAGTTTATTTTTGGCAATGCAAAACACTTTTATACTCTATTCTGTGGAAAATAATGTATTTTTAAAATAGTAAAAGAAAATGTTTTTTAGCCAGTTCCTAGAACCCAGCCTAAATAAATTTAACTTAATTGCTGATTACAATACCCCCCCCCCATTTAACATCATTTTTACTAAAACTACATATGCAAAAGGATTCTGGATTAGATAATTAGGTCTTAAAATGCCTTATGTAAAGATAAATGAACCTGTTTCTATACAGTGTCAATAGAAAATAAGATACGAAACACAAAATACGTTTAATCAGATAATCTCCAAAGTTGGGAAGTGATATAATAACTATGGTTTGAATAAAATCAGAGTTGTTAAACAGGTGAGATAGTGACCTGAAATAAAAACACATATGGGAACAAAAAATCCAGAAAAAATGATTTTATCTCATAGTTTACAAAGGAGGTCTACTACTCATGGAAATTATGGTTATATTACTCAAATCAAACATATTCCAGAGTTCAAAATAAAGGAAAATATTTGAAAGAAAGGAGAAAGGGAGTAAACCTCTCACAAGGAAGAAGTGACTTAAAGGATGAAGAGGTTGACTTCTGCTAAAGGCTTTGTGCCAAACCATGCTCTTCTCAATGACTGTTCACCTTTCTTTAATGACATTTTATCCTTCTATGTTAAGTATCCTTTTATTACCATATTTTTCTATGCCAAAGACCCCACCCCCCCAAAATACGAGATGCTTATCTACTTAGGTCTTTATTTTTCTATATTATAGAAAAAAAGATTTAGATAAACTCTTCTCTACAAACTACAAGGCAGATACTGTTTTTTCCATGAGATGGATACAAAGAGCAAAAGTATTCTGTTAATGGATAATCTATGCAACAAACAAAGATAAATTCACCTGTCAGGAGATTTTACTTTCTAACATCATGGATTATTTCTCACTCCTATTATTTCTCACAACATGCAGAATGCCTATAGACTTCGATGGAAATTGTGAGCAGCAAGTACAAAAATAAGAGAGAAATAGGTCCAAAAATTTTCCAGAAGTTAAGAGTAAATAAAAATACTCATTCTTTTTGATGTATAGTGTGGTATGCTGTATTGTTCTCTCATTGAATAGAGTAATTTGAAGAGAGGACTACCAAAGAGAGGGTAAGAGACACAAGAAGCTGAAGATATTACAATACGAAACACTAACACAGGCCAATAGAAGAATGAAAAGGTGGAGGGAAATAGATAGGAAATAACAGCTATAAAAGAAAGCACACAGGACTTATCAGTAAATAGACTGGCTGAGTTCTAAAGCTGGTTCTAACACTGGCACTGCTATACTATGCACAGGACCCTAGGGGCACAACCTCTCTCACTTCCCTCATCTATGAACCCTGAAGGGGAGAATATAAACCGGGTTAGTGCTTCTCTAGCTGTAATAAGAAAAATAATCACCTGGGTTGCAGACTTAAAAGGCAAGTTCTTATACAGTCGGTCTGGGATGCAGCCCATTACTAGGAAGACTGTGCATTTTCTAGGAGGTTCCCAGTGATGCTATGCCATTATTCCATGGACCACCCTTTGAGCAGTAAGAAATTAGATGATCCTTTAGGTTCCTTTTAACTTCTGAAAACTGTCACTTTTAAAAATAATAATTAGGAGGAAGAATGGATTGAAGGTGAGGAAAACTGGATCAAGAAAGTTTTAACTGGTCAGAGGACTCATTTTGCGCTGCCAGAGCAAACACCTGTACATGTTTTCTACTCCATTACAGCACTCATCACACTGTCCAGTGACCTTCCTTTAAACCTAATCTCCCTGAAAGCAAGGTCTGGGTCTTTCATTCTTGTATTGCAAGGCCTATCAAGGTATCTAAACATTTATTTGATGAATAAATAAAGTCGATGATTTTTCCTAATAGTCCTTTATTCTCTATCCCTTCTGCCAAATTCAACAGTACCTTTATTGTTACTCAAGGTTTCTTCAGTGTCCAGCAAACTTTTCCTACAGCTCTTCCCAAGTCCTCCTGTATGTTGGCATAACAACTTTAACCTCAAGTGAACAACACTTCAACCCAGTATTTAGTGAGTAAGTGTGTGCTCCATAAGGCTCAATGTTCTTTATTTCATTGCTTACTCGAGGGGAAAAAAGCAATGCCTTCGTTTCTTTGCCCAACAATGCAAGTCACGCATTCATTCAGCAATTACTTAATAAATCCCCATTTTTGCCACATTTCACACCATACCCCCTTCTCAAATTAGCTCTTCCAGTTCACGCAGCTCAGAGAGCTCTCAACAATTCCACCTCTTACAACTATTATGGAAGTTGTAGTAATTATCAGCACCTAAGCCACAGTGTAACAACTCCTATCCAAATATTTGCATGAAATTTTTCTATATATTTACATATCATTATACAAGTTATATGTGTCTTTATGTATCTGTTTGCATTAATATTTTCTTTAGAGTTTCTGACAGGAATAAATATCCTACACTTCTTTTACATGTTTCCTTTTCTACTAAAAAAAAAAAAAGACTGTGCCACAATAGTGCCATACAATGATATGAAAACTTACCATTACTAACAAGTGCCCCTAATTCTTAAACCAAAAAATGTTGGAGGACTAAAACACTAAAAAAGGTCATGAATACTAAAGCTTCATATATTTTACATAATCTTTGAATACATTAAAATAATATACTTCCCCCATTTTCATTAACTAAAATGTTTAAATAAACATTTTAAAACTAAATTAAATCCTCTATTCATTTTGGTTACACTAAATCCAAGTGTAGGTTATATATATTAAAGTGACAGAAGATATATTTCTAGCATGTTGTTAATATCCTAAAGCTACACAGTTTTGGGTGGAATTCCATACTATAAATTTACTAGGAAAAAAACAAAAAATCAAAATTCTATTGAAGCCCTGCCCCTTCTGCCATCACTAAAGTCAAATTCTATCATCAAAAAGTACCAAGATCCAAATGAGCTCTATGTAACATTCTTGGGAATTCTCTCTTTGGAAAGCTTTTGGGGGGGGGGGGGATCAAAAATGGCACAAATATAAATTGACCCGTAATTAGTTTTTCAAATTGTCTTATTTTATATTTTATACTACTAATATGTTTATTACCACTATATTTATATCTTCATGTCTTAATGATTCTGATCTTATTTTGAGTCGATATTTATTAACAATGTTAAGTCTTTCATGTTGTCACATAAACCTATAACTAAACTAGAATTGCAAAAGTTTAGATTTTGAAATGATCCCTTCATCTTAAAAATGAGATTCAGAGAGCTCAAGAGACTTGCCAAAGAAGGTAAAGCAAGAGCCTCCTGTATCCTAGAAGCTATTCTAGTACTATTCAGTCATCATACACATTAAGTTTAAGAAAAAAAGTTTCCCATCAATTTCTTTGCAAATTACAGATACATACATTATACTTTAAGATTGTTCCTTCAAGGAAAAGAAGAGAGAACTATAAAAGTTCCCTCAATAGAATGACAAGAGATACTCAAAGGAGCCCAGTTGCCCACTTTATTAATTAGGTGCTGCATCTTGAAAGACCTGGTCAAGGATCACACATGCTCTGGAGGCCATGACATAAAGTTGGGGGAAAGGACTAAGGATGTCTAGCCTGGAAAAGAGGAAGAAGGCTCATCAAATATTAAGAAAAGTTACGAGAGATGAGATTTATTCTCTGTTTTCAGAGGGCAAAATTAGAGCCAGTGAGAAGTTGTCAGACAGAATAGGGCTAGGCCTGTGAACCAAACTGACTCCATTACCCCGCCCCCCGCACATGATTTCCCCATGGCCTGCCAAGATAAAACAAACTGAGATAAGAAGGGAACAGATATTCACTCAGTTGTAAAACCCCTCTCCAAGGCTTATTTATCATAATTGCAAAAATTACAGATTAACCCTAAGTCTCCTTTAGGAATTCCTGCATGTGCACAAAGCTTCAAGGTGATTGCTACAATGACCCTCCTGAACTGACTACGAAGAACACCACCACCATCTTGGATCTACTGAGCAGGTGCAAGTACCAAAGCCGTAACTGAGCATGTGCCCATGATGC